CAAAATGAAAAAATTGTCACGAGCTAATCATCACCGTTGAGACGTTAGGTAATTATTTACAAAGTTTCAATGAAATCTGTTCTGTAGTTTATAAGAAATTTCTTGATAGCCGCGAATTTAAGAGACAAATTACCTGGCGATACGGGCCGAATATAAAGAAGTGTGAAATCAAGAATGACGGTGAAATGTAAAAAACTTACAAATGAAGGTAAAATAAAAAAAATTAAAAGTTGAAAAATCACAGTTTGGTGGTTAGGAATGTTTATTCAAATTTTCGTTCAAATCTGTTCAATAGTTTCGGCGAATTTCGGCCTGTTTCGCAATATACGCGTATCTCACGAATGAAGGTGAAATTAAAAAAATTTTTAGCTCAACATCACCGTTAGGTTCTGATGAATACATGTTCCAAGTTTCATTGCACTGCGTTCATTAGTTTGGAAGATATTACTTGATAATTGAATTTGGAGATTGGTCGTAAGACCGGCCACGAGTCCGGCCGCAAATTCGCCCGAGACGTCCTAGGTGCTGAAACAGCTAAAACGGCTGAAAAGCATATTGGTTCACTAAATGGGGTTCTATTTTTGCAATAAACCTTTGTGTTTAACCTTTCTCTTTTAAAATTGCAGCGTACTAAATTTCAAGATAGAGGCGTATGTCTGTGGGGGGCGCTAGAAATTCACTAGGGAGCCAAAGGGGGCACCAGCCTGAAAAAGTTTGGGAACCACTGAGCTAGAGTATAGACCTGTATTTTGCATGTTTCAATTCAAGTTTAATTTAGCTAGTAAAAAAAGGGCATCATTTATAAAAAAAAAAAGTGGTCTAAGTTACCCCATTTTACGGTATGTGTTTTAAGCCTTTAAGAAGTTCATTTTTTGCCTCAAATAACGATGTTGGATCAAAAAAGTTGTCTTGGTGGATCGAATATATGAACCTTCGAAATTAGAATTCCATCCTGGGTAGCAGGCCGCAGGGACACCAACCAACAATATACTGATTTGAAAAAAATGATATACAAATTCTTCTATATTACAAATTTATCAGTAACTGGCATTCAACAGAATGGTTTAATAACCTTCGTAAATCGTAAATGTTATACATGCAGAATCAATCGTGTGCAACAGCCAAAGTAGCGGGAACGATGGTTAGTGTTTACTGTTTACTTGTTAGTTCTCAATAAGCAATCGGTGTGCGAGGTAACTGAATTAACTGCAGATAAAGATCCCGAACTTGGAGACGATAATTGAGTGAAAACTTTATGAGATAAATTGTGAGCCTTCTAAAGTTTCAATTATGAAGAAATCACAAGGTTCACAGAATCTAAAGGTTTGAATGCTAAATTTTTGACTTTCAAGTACTCAATTGACTATTGCGTCTATTCTAGTCAGTCAACACTTAACTGTGAAGTGTCATGTTGTTTGTTGTGCATTGCCTTTTCTTCGAGAAGTTTCCCCACCTGCTGATGAGTTTCTCCTCAATTTGAAAGCTGAGGTAAAGAATAGGTGCCATAAATGTTTTTTTATATTTAATTTGAAACTATTATGTTGGGAGTAAATAGTATTTCCTTCTGTAGATCCATCCCTCTTGCTCATCTGTGAGTGACACTTGCAATTAACAATCTTGCATGGAACCTTCTCTGTGTTGCCTGACTTGACGTTCATACGATCATAGCTACCGTAACCGAAGCCAATTTCTGACGGCCTGCAAACCTGTTTCTAGTTGCCTGGAACGTTTTTTTTTCAAGGCAGAATGCTTTTTTATGTGAACCACAAATTTTAGAATTCCAGCCTGGTCGGAATACATCTCACCACCTGCCGAATATAGTCACACAGAGTCGGAATATAGGGATTTGGTAGGTTTGCATTCTAAAGGCTTTTAAATAAATATGGCAACATTTTGTGACGTTCAATCATTGCTGGAGCATCGTGCGGTGTTCTGAGAGTCACGTAAAGCTAGGGTAAACGCGGTATATTCCGACACATTAAGGACGCATCGAGAAATGAAAAACGATAAAAAAAACGTATGCGTTACGCAAGTTCTGTTGCCTTCACATGACTCAAAACACTGCACTACGCGTCAGCAACGATGAAACGTCACTAAATGTTGCCATATTTATTAAAAAGCCTTTAGAATGGAAACCTACCAAATCCAAATCCCTATATTCCGTCACTTTGTGTGACAATATTCGACACGTGGTGAGTCGTATTGCGTCAGCGCTTCAAATTTAACTGATACGTATTGCCGACATCCACGTGTTCAAATTCCGTTTGCTGTGTGAGCTGTATTGGGATACAACACGGCTTTGAATTAGAACACTAACGAATATTGAACACTACTTAATTACGTTTTAATTAACAGCTATTAGGCTTTTAATTAAGCAATTTTCAATTTTTGTACAAAGCTTAGAACGATCTGTGTGTGTCCAATTCAAGTTGTGTCGGAATTAGTTTTCATGTGTCTAAATCCAACATCTCAACTGAATCATCTATTAATTTATTTACGACTTGAAATCAGCGAATACAAGTATACTTAAAGGATTCCTAATATATTCACAGACGTATTTAAAAGTCTCAAACCATAATATTCTTCCTATAAAAACAGTTATTCACTATTAGGTAGAGCCATGTCAACTGTCAAATTTGACACATTTTTCGATGATCTCACCACGTGGCATGCATTGTCTCTCTTTGGATCTCAATATTTTCCCACTAGATGGCCAAGCAGGCTGGAATTCTAAAATTCGTGGTTCACATAAAAAAAAGCATTCCGCCTTAAAAAAACGTTCCAGGCAACTAGAAACAGGTTTGCAGGCCATCAGAAATCGGCTTTGGTTACGGTAGCTATGATCGTATGAACATCAAGTCAGGCAACACAGAGAAGGTCCCATGCAAGATTGTTAATTGCGCGCATTACTCAGTCTCACAGATGAGCAAGAGGGATGGATCTACAGAAGGAAATACTATTTACTAGCAACATAATAGTTTCAAATTAAATATAAAAAAACATTTATGGCGCCTATTCTTTACCTCAGCTTTCAAATTGAGGAGACACTCATCGGCAGTTGAAGAAACTTCTCGAAGAAAATGCAATGCACAACAAACATGACACTTCACAGTTGACTGACTAGAATAGACTCGATCGTCAATAGAGTACTCGAAAGTCAAAAGTTTAGTATTCAAACCTTTAGATTCTGTGAACCTTGTGATTTCTTCATTATTAAAACTTTAGAAGGCTCACAATATATCATGTAAAGTTTTCACTCAATTATCGTCTCGAAATTCGGGAGCTTCATCTGCAGTAATGTTCTGTAACTACCTCACCCACCGTCGGCGTCAACTAACCACTAACCGTCATTACTAGATTCCCGCCAGTGCCGCCACTGTTGCACACGATTGATTCTGCATGCATGTATAATATAAAATATTTACGAAGGTTATTAAACCATTCTGATTTCCGTTGAATGTCAGTTACTGATAAATTTTTAATATAGAAGAATTCGTATCTCTTGAAAGTGGAAGTGTGCTGGACGTTCCAGATTTTTGGGTCCTGCTTTCCAATTTGCTATGTTTACCAGTTAATATATTACCCCTCTGGATTTCCACACTGTGGCCAAGACCTAGTGTTTTTTGCAGTATTTCGACACACAAATGTATGACATCACCATTTCAATTTTCAACCATCAATGAACTCATGGAACTAAAACAAAGCTTAATATAAAGGAAAAGCTGGAGAGGTGACGGAATTACCTACGATGTCGGAATATACTGCGTTTACCCTAACAGAACTCTAGTAACGCATATTTTTTTATAGTTTTTCATTTCTCGATGCGTCCTTAATGTGTTGGAATATACCGCATTTACCCTAGTTTTTATGTGTCTAATTCCGTTTCTTAACTTAATCATCTATTAATTTATTTAACCACTTGAAATCAGCAAATACAAGTATACTTAAAGCCGATTCCTAAAGGATTTAAAAGTCTCAAGCCATAATATTCTTTCTACACAAACAGTTTATCACTATTTGGTAGAGCAAGGTCAACTGTCAACTTTAACACATTTTTTGATGATCTCATTGGGTGGCATGCACTTTTTGCACTGTCTCTCTTTGGATCTCAACATTTTCCCGCCAGACGGCCCAAACCTAGTGTTTTGGCAATAGTTTGGCGCATGGTGGCAAACCAGAGCTTTTTTGGAATCGGTTCATTTTTAATTTCCTCAATAACTCAAGATTTAAACCAATTTTTTAAGTATGATAATGCTGGTATCCATGATACTTTATTGGTCTACTTATAAGACTCAAAAATGAACTTGAGGGAGAGTCTAAAAAACTCTCTGCTTTGTCACTATGGTTTGGCGCGCAAAGGTACGACATCACTATTTCAACCATCAACAAATGCGTGGAACTAAGACAAAGCTTAATATAAAGGAAAAACTAGAGAGATGTTGAAATTACCCACGATGATGGAATATACCGCATTTACCCTACAGCTCTCTCGATCACACTTGAAGACAGTTGATGTTGACATTTTATTATGAACTTTCATTGTAAAATACCTACATCCAATTCCATAGAAGGCAAGCTATGTATGTAGTATGTACTATGGAAACTTTAAATTAATTAATGTCAGTCCAAATTCCATAAGTAGAAGAAGTCCTATCAATAAACAGAGGAAAATTTCTCATTGAAAACAAATTTTATTAGGTAGATGTAGAAGACGGTCAAGTAAGAAAGTGATTTCTAATAGTAAGATAATCGGTATTCGGTAGGTATAGAACCCATTTTCACATCAAACAAATTCACCCAAGTTCTGTTATATATGTGTTATCAACTGCAATAATACAAACTTGAGCGTGATTAGTTAAGTTGGACCGTGCAGTGTTTTTGTACACTGTTGTCAGTTCTCGTAACAATTTGAGACAAGTTATTTCCAATACATAGATACATACAGCAACTTGAACGCCAGTCGGGTTAAGCAGCAGACTCAACACCATAGACACACACACCTTTATCTGCACATTTGTAGCTCGTGGTGTGAAGGCACCTTGAAGAGGCTCTGAGCAAATTGCGTGACATAATCGAAGCCATTTCGATCAAATTTCAGCAGCTGACTGGCCCACCGGTCGCAATCGGCAATCACCGTCAATCACCAACTGAGTTCATGGTTCTTGCGCAAAACCTCAATGAATCGACCGGGAAGTTTGAAAATTTGTTGTCAGTCACAAATTTTCTGAGCTTTTTTTTTAATGAGAAGCAACTAATGACAACTCAAACTTCATTTGAGATTCAGTTCCTGATATAATTTTGATGATCTTCTATTAGTTGACGGCGTGTTCCACCAGAGGCGATTCTCGCCGTAATCTGCTTATTTATTGAGTCTCAGGGCTGGAATAGATGAGTCCTGATATAAAAGCCGATCCACACTCTCAGTTTTACACAACGATTTGTCAGCGCAGTTCTAATCATTGCAGTTAAAACGTTGCGTGTGGACGGGAAAACTGCGCAGTTTTGAAGCCGGCGGGAAAACTGCGCAGTTGCATCGAAATCTGAGCTACAGAGCATAGCTTTCGATGAACTGCGCAGGCAATTCGGAACGTGTAGACCAGTGGTTCCCAAAGTGGGCGATATCGCCCCCCTAGGGGCGGTGGAAAGATTTGGGGGGGCGATAAGGAAGAAGAGGTCGGTAGGGGGGCGATATGGGGGGCGGCTGTCCAAAGTCAGAAGTTCGAACGTTTGTTAGACGATTTGTAAACAACACGTGCAGCACATGACTCCCAGCGATGGTTTTTTCTGTTTTTTTTTTTTTTTAACCTAGCTCTCCTGGGTTTACGTCTCGGACAAATTAACGGCCGGACTCGAGGCCGGTCTCACGGCTAATTTTCAAATTCAATGATCAAGGAATATCTCTCAAACTAATGAACTTAACTCGATGAAACTTGGTACACGTATTCATCAGGACCTAACGGTAATATTTTGCTCGTAAAAATTGTGTGAATTTTGCCATCGTTCGTTTTTGCAATAGTTATATGCCAATACGGGCCGAAATGCACAGTGATCAAGTATTTCTTCCAAACTACTGAGCAGAATAATCAGCAGATTCGAACGAAATTTTGAATTTACAGTCCTAACTAAAAATTTTTCGATTGTGCCTTCGTTCGCGATTTTTTTTTTTTTTCATTTCACCTTCATTCGTGATTTAAACAGCAATTCGTGCTTAAATTCGCAGTAATCAAGAATTTTTTTTCCAAACTACTGAACAGATTATTATTAACTCGCAAACGAAAGCAAAATGGAAAAATTGTCACGAGCTAAACATCACTGTTGAGAGGTTATGTATTTTTATACAAAGTTTCGCTGAAAACTGTTCTGTATTTTAGAAGAAATTTCTTGATCACCGCGAATTTAAGCGACAAATTACCCGGCGATACGGGCCGAATATAATGAAGTGTGAAATCAAGAATGACGGTGAAATGAAAAAAAAAACTCGCAAACGAAGGTTAAATCGAAAAAAAGTATAATCTAAAAAATCACCGCTTGGTAGTTAGGAATGTATATTCAAAATTTCGTTCAAATCTGTTCAATAGTTTGAAGAAATTCTTTGATCAATGCGAATTTTCTCCTGTTTCGCAATATACGCGCAACTCACGAATGAGGGTGAAATTTAAAAAAATTTACTAGCTAAACATCACCGTTAGGTTCTGATGAATGCGTGTTCCAAGTTTCATAGAGCTGCGTTCATTTGTTTGGGAGATATTTTCTTGATAATTGAATTTGGAGATTGGTCGTGAGACCGGCCACGAGTCCGGCCATAAATTCGCCCGCGACGTCCTTGGCTTCTAGTGCTGAAACAGTTAAAACAGCTGAAAAACATATTGGTTCACTAAATGGGGTTCTATTTGTAAAATACACATTTGTGTTTAACCTTCATCTTTTAAAATTGCAGCGTACTAAATTTCAAGAATGAGACGTATGTCTGTAGGGGGCACTAGAAATTCACTAGGGGGCCAAAGGGGGCGCCAGCCTGAAAAAGTTTGGGAACCACTGGCATAATCGAAAACATTTTTCCGAGCTAAACATTACCGTCCGGTAGTTAGGACTGTAAATTAATAATTTCGTTCGAACCCGTTCGGTAGTTTGGAAGAAATCCCTTGAACACTGTGAATTTCGGCCCGTATTGCCATATAACTGTGGCAAAAACAAATGAAGGCAAAATTAAAAAAAAAATTTAAGGAGCTAAACATTACCGTTAAGTCCTAATGAATACGTGTACCAAGTTTCATCGAGTTAAGTTTATTAGTTTGAGAGATATTCCTTGATCATTGAATTTGGAAATTGGCTGTGAGACCGGCCGCGAGTCCGGCCGTTAATTTTTCCGAGACGTGAACACAGGAGAGGTTAAAAAAAAAACAGATCTGTGTGAAAAAACCATCGCAGGGAGTCATGTGCTGCACGTGTTGTGTACAAATCGTCAAACAAATGATCGAACTTCTGACTTCGACTTGCCGCCCCTATCGCCCCCCAACCGCCCTTTTCTTCCTTACCGCCCCCCAAAATCTTTCCACCGCCCCTAGGGGGGCGATATCGCCCACTCTGGGAACCACTGGATTATGCCTTCGTTCGCGAGTTTTTCGCGCATTTTCTCATTAAAAGAAAGAAAAGGCGCTATTGTGCTCGTCTTGTCCGTCTGTCTGTCCGCCCGTCTGTCTGTCCGTGACTTCATGTTTTCGTCGACGAGAAAATGCGCTCTCTGTCACTAACTGAAGTGAATACTGAGTTACATTTTTTTTCATTTAAATTTCATTCGCGATTTTAAACAGCAATACGTGCTTAAATTCGCAGTAATCATCATTAGATCCTAATGAATACGTGTTCCAATTTTCATTGAGCTGCGTTCATTAGTTTGGGAGATATTACTTGATAATTGAATTTGGAGATTTGTCGTAAGACCGACCACCAGTCCGGCCGTAAATTTGCACGAGACGTCCTAGGTTTCTAGTGCTGAAACAGTTGAAACAGCTGAAAAACATATTGGCTCACTAAATGGGGTTCTATTTGTGAAATAAACATTTGTGTTTAACCTTTATCTTTTAAAATTGCAGAGTACTAAATTTCAAGAAAGAGGCGTATTTTTTTATACGTGTCTGTGGGGGGCGCTAGAAAATCACTAGGGAGCCAAAGGGGGCTCCAGCCTGAAAAAGTTTGGGAACCACTGCCCTAAATGATCCAATCACTTTTTTAACAAGGCAAAATGCCAAAATTTATCAAAATACTGCCTTCTCCATGGCACGTCTCGGACAAATTTACGGCCGGACTCGCGGCCGGTCTCTCCAAATTCGATGAGCATGGAATATCTCCCAAAGTAATGAACGTAGCTCGATAAAACTTGGTACACGTATTTATTAGGACTAAGCGATTGATGTTTAGCACGTGACAATTTTTTCGATTTTGCCTTCGTTTGCGAATTATACGGCTTTATCTAATCTAAAAAATTGTCACGAGCTAAACATCGCCGTTGGGAGGTTAGGTTTAAATATTCAAAGTTTTTTTTTTCAAATCTTTACGGTAGTTAGGAAGAAATGTCTTGCTCACTGCAAATTTCGGCACGTATCGTCATATAACTCACGAATGAAGGTGAAATTCTAAATATGTTCACGAGCTAAACACCACCGTTAAGTCCTAATGAATACGTTTACCAAGTTTTATGGAGCTATGTTCATTACTTTGGGAGATATTCCATGCTCACCGAATTTGAGGAGACCGGCCGCAAGTCCGGCCGTAAATTTGTCCGAGACGTCTCCATGAGGAGATCGCGCAAAACTGAGCAAACAACTCAGATAAGTCGGCACCGTGTGGACGCTCTAAAAATTGCAACAGTTTCTTTCCGACTTAAAACTGCGCAGACAACTGAGCGTGTGGACCGGCCTTAAGATTCATGATATATATATGGATGTTCGCCCTTGAAACTGATACCGCTGTGTTCAGCAGAATCGAGGGACAAGCACAAATGATCCATAAAGGTGCTTGTACACGGGGACCGTACTGGCTGCAAGTGATCAGTAAAATGCCAAATGTCTGCCGCTTTGTGTCTATCCCGCAAGTGAGCTTAGACACAAGGCAAGTTTAAGGTGCAGACGTTCCGGTCTCTAGTCGTTACCGGCACGGCGGCACCTTAATTAAACTTGTCTCGTGTCTAAGCTTACTTGCGGGATAGACACCAAGCGGCAGACATTTGGCATTTTCCTGATCTTCTTTCCGCCAGTTAAGTCCCCGTGTACAAGCACCTTAATAAAAGTTCTTCCAATTGTAAAAGTCTTCAACAAGGGTAAACACAGAATATTCAGAGCACAAGTAGAAGCGTTAAATATTGGGTTACAATAAAGGACCTATACTCGCTTGCAACCAACTGAATCGACACTTCTCCGGACCCGCCTGCGAACTCGCCTGCGGACTCTAACGCAAAACCTAATTACACGCTCAACTGAACCACTCATAATTCCTATAATACTAAACGGATTTGCTTGAATTTTGAAATGTGAGTAGTTACTGTCAATGCGCTGCGGTAGAAATCATTACATATGCCACATAGAAAAGTTTTCAATTAAAATGGATAAACGTATGTATCCATTCTCTATCAAAGGAATTATGAGTGTCTCGGTTGATTGACAAAATACGTTTATTCGTTTAATTGAAAACTAATTTATGTAAAAATCTGTAATAATTCCTGACGCAGCGTATTTACAATTATAACTACTCACATTCCAAAATTCAACCAAATCCGTTCACTACTGAAAGAACTATGATTGTCTCGTTTGATTAAACAATGCGTTTATTCCTTTTAATTAAAAATTAATTCGTATAAAAACTGTAATAATTCCTGCCGCAGCGTATTGACAATAACTACTCACATTCCAAAATTCAAGTCGTTAACTATTGATGGAATTATGAGTGTCTCTGACTCTCGGTTGATTAAAAAGTACGTTTATTCGTTTTAATTGAAAACGATTTGATGTAAAAATCTGTAATAATTCCTGCTGCATCGTATTGACAATAACTACTCACATTTCAAAGTTCAAGCAAATCTGTTCACTATTGTAGGAGTTATATTGTAGCATAGTTCTGTTCCAAAATTTATCGTCCTACGACGCATGGCCAATCGACCAT